TGTTCTCCAGTTTCCCTCTCGACTCGGCCCCGTCATCGTCACGATATTCCTGGCAAATATTTGTTCAGCGAAATCAGAGCCTCCGGTTAATTTCTACGTCGATACGACGGCAGTCGAACGGGGCAGCGACGCCAGTAATACAAACTGACAATTTACAGCCGCGCTTACTTATATACACACGCTCTCTCGTTCATAAGTCATCGGACATTTCTATTGGCAAATGTCGAATAAGAACGAATCGATCTCGTGAAGTTTCGTAAGTCATGTGTAGCTTTATTAACTCTTTAACTGCTACTGGAAATGTAATGGGATGTAAATTCAAATATCAATACAAGAAATTTTTAATACACTCTCGTTTAATTCTTCCGTTCATTTCACAAAAACATTTCACAAAAATCTCTAGAAATTCTTCCGCTATTCCCGTTATTTTTTTGTTTTATTTAATTAGTTTTATTATGATGTAACTCTGTTAAAGTGAGTTAATTATGGAAATAATTGGGTGGGTTAGGTATGTAATTATAAGGTTAATATAAATCTGTATTTTATTAAATAATAATATCAACATAATTTGCTGGGAATGTAATATGCTAATATGTTTTTTACAAAAAAAGTAAAAATATATTTCTGTATACATATATTATAGTAATCCCGGCCGAGCCCCCAATTTTATAGTGATTACTATTATTATTAGATATTGAAAAGGTGGATCTTCAGTAAAAAGAGAATTAGGAATAAATAATGTATTTAATGAGATAAAGAAACAATATGGACAACACGTAAAAATAGAAGGTTAAGGTTACTTAATACCACGAAGGCCAACACACGACTCTCTATCACGCACAAAAATGTTCTTCTCCGCTGTTTTTTAACAAAATGTCCTCATGCACGCATTCCCACTCGCTTTTAACACATACCCCCATTCGCTCTGTCTTTCTCACCCTTGCACCCTTCTCACTCGCATCTTTCGTTCATAGTCAAAATTCACTCAGTCACGTACACGCTTTTGTCACAGTCCAGTCGCTCAGTTCCAGACACTTTTCCTCGCATTCTTTCAGCCACTTGAGATTTTCTAAACGCAGTCACACTATTTCCCAAACATCCCGGCGCCGTCCGTCGCAATACGACCTGGTCGCCCTTACGCACGCACAACAAACCATTCATCCTACAATACTTTAATCTACGCTAAATATTCTAGATACTACAATATTTAAGAATAAACGAAAAGTATTTCAAATACTGTTTAAAACGATATTTCGATAACTAATATATTTTTACTGCAATATTCTAAATTTCATTACTCTCTAATTTCATTATTGTCCAAACTAACATAGAATTTTTGTATAACAAATACATTTAAAAATTGATTTATTACATTTATTGTTAAGCACTCTGTCTGTCACGAGTACTTTTGAGTATACGCTGAATTTTTCTCGGAGGACCACCTAATGTTGGGACTAAGAGTTCTAATGACTAATTGACTGAATGATGTACCTCCCTGAATGGAGGTTTTCTGAAGTGTTTCTAATTTGTTTCTGAATGAACGTGGTTGCTAAATAAACGTGTTCCTGTTTCTAATTCTCAACTGATTCTGCTTCTGGTTTGTTTCTAAACTGTGTTCTAACTATACTAATGCTGTTTCTGTCTCTGATTTTAAACTCTGACCGATTCTCAACTCTCTGAAGGGTTTTTATAATCCTTCTGGACCCACTCCCTCCCTCTCGATGTACGAAGGTCGGCCTCATGGGCGGTTTTTTCATCCCTTCCTAAGTATGATAACCACTCCTGTATCATCCCCTTCCAGTACGCCCGTAGCGCGGTATTTCATGTCGTTACGCTGGAAGAATGTTTGGCAACGTTGAGGAAATTCCATTCGGTCAAGATCCTTGAGGACACTTTTTTCTGAAATTCTAACGGATCCTCTGGAACACGACTTTACAATACCTGGGCTAAAGTGAAAAAATAGACAATGTTTCATCTCTAAGCTGAACCCTTATGTGCCACATATTGGCTGCAGGCCGGCCTGCTAAAGTACCGAACGGAAAGCTAACGGTTATGAACGTCTCTATGAATGTTTTCCCGTATCGCAAATTGTTCCCTTGTTGTCCTAACATTTATATCAATTATATCAATTTCAAAATCACATTCTTTACTGAAATTAATATAAACTATTTAACATTTAAAATAATATTATATTCACCGCACGTGTGCAGTGATTTGTACATGTTAATTTAATTTTTCGATCTCGATTACTGTTAGGACTAGCGAATGTGAGGCGTTTAACGGTGTCGTTTCCATCGTGTGACTCATTGCCGGATTAATGCAATTATGGGGTGGGGAATCATCGTATCAGAGACTCCTTAAAGGCGATAAAGTCACCCTTCTTATTCGTCGGTTAGACCGCATCGCCAACTTGTTGCACTTTCGGCTCTTTCTCTTTTCGTCCTTTATCCGGTCTCGTCGGCTGTTTCGGGATATCGTGAAAATACCGCGCACTGCGATAGCAGTTAACGCGGCTACCGTTGATGAATGGTTACGACCACCCTTACACTTTTATTCCGTGGCCATTATGAGAAGCGTGCCGAGAGTAGCGCAGGCCATTTAAATGTCTTCCCTGAACTTCTAGGTAAGGAAATACGAATTTAGATTTCTGTCTTTAAAATTTCTCGTTACACACACATGTTAAAGAATTATTTTCCAAATCTTTGGAAACTTTCCAATTTTTTTACAAATGTATTTACATTTTATTTTGTTAATAATTTCAGATGATAT